AGTTACATAAGTTTTGTTTATTTTCATCAGTTTTTATTTTTATTTTTCCATTGTCTAAATTTTTTGGGTTTTGGTATAAGTGTTTATTTAAGATATTAGCATTATGGTTCTTAATAATTTTTTCTAAGTTTTCCGTACAGCTGTAACTCAATTTTAGTGTGTTTTTATTGAAAATAGTACTTAGTTTACTTTCACTAGGAAAATGCTTGACTATCAATGCGAGGAATTTTTGTCCTAATTTGTTCTTTACCATTTGGTTGTATGGGGACGTATACCAAATTATTTTTCTACATCTGTTTTTTCTATGCTTTTCATTTTCATTTTTTGGGTTTTTGTAGCCACTCACTTTTAGAGCCTTATTATAGGAATTGATATGTTCATCGAAAATCTTGTCATTTGCTGAATTTGTACTTATTCGTTTACTGATAGATAACGGTATATGTTTAATTATAGTTGGGGGTGATTTGATTTAGGGTGTATATATAAAGGATTGGTGTTGGGTTTTTTATAAGGTGTGTATGTATTTTTATTTAGATCTAATGTTATATCTAGGAAGTTCCCTTTTTTAATTTAGTGCTAAATGCTTTTAAATTCTTTCTAATTCTATCTATTTTGAAGTTGGTTGAGTTTCTAATAACCATAAGGCCATCGTCTCTGTACAAACCACTGTCAGTTATATTAATATCACGGTGCGCAGTAAGGTTGTATAATATAAAAAGACCAATGAGATCAGAAGACTCAGCTGAGTCTAGTGATCCCATTGTGATGTCGAAGTGGTCATATGAATTCTTAATCCATTGCTCACCTTTATGTATAAGTACCGCTTTTTTCGCATATAGAATAATGTTCTTTTCTTCATCTGTAATATCTGTATAGTGGGTGGCAAAGTCCAACGCATTCATAAATAGTTTTTTAGATATTGACTGGTAATAATTATCAATGTCAAACTGCATTAGTGTACAATTGTTTTTTCCTTTTAAGTGAGTAAACCAGTTTATCACTTCCTTGGTATTAATCCAAAGTTTCAGGCTTATTTTTTCTTTAATTTGTTTATTTACCCTTTCAAGATCATTTTACTTATTTTTCCGATATCCGGTCTTGTAGGATTTATTATCCTTGTAGTGGGATTAGCCTCAAAATCTGGTTTGAGGTCCTTTAAGGCTATGTAGCATACTGTCCTTTTTTTTTATATATATATATATATATATATATATATATATATATATATATATATATAAAGTAAAGCAGAATGATATTCTGACGGGATGATAAACATCTAAGACAACTTTTAAAAATTCATTTTTAAATCATTTCACCCCCAAGCAAGACAAAAACACTAGCGGTTACTGAGTTCGAGAGAATATGAGAAAAACATTATTAAAGAGAGGATTAATTTCAAATTGCTATATATATATATATATATATATATATATATATATATATATACAAAAGAAGAATCTGCAATATTATTGGTGCTGACCTTTCATCTCGACTTCAGTCAATTTATCAGCCACCGCTGTAACATAGCTTTTCTGTACCTTTTTTATAAATATTTTCATGGTAATTGTTCTGATGAACTTTCCTCCATGATGTCTAGACTTTATGAATTTAAGCGCAATACCAGACTGGTGGCAAAGTGTCACTATTTTACAATTGATACTGGCGAGATGTAACCGTAAGTTCTATGCTAATGTGAGTCAGTCGTTCACTTTTGAACCGACTGTTCGATTGTACTCTCTTCCTACGGACGGGAGGAACCCGAAGGAGGCTCCACCGAAGGGCGGAGACTCCTTCGGGGAGGTAAACCGGCCCTGAACCCGTATATTCGGGTTCAATGGGCATATTTTTGGCCGAGCCCACGGGCTCGGAATGCCCACGGGCTCGGAATGCCCACGTTAAAAAGGCCTTGTGCCACATGACACCCTCGTGGTGGGGGGGTGACTCAATATCGTAAGTTTTATGCTAATAGTTTCTTTTCGCATACTACTCGCTTGTGTTATTTTATAACAGGGATTAAGAAGATAGAAAATAACGATTAATATTACACTTAAATTTTTGAAGATCAAAGTTCTTCATCATTTTTGGGTGTCCCGACTCCTTTATCTCCCTGATTCTAGCAATGCATGGCAATATGTCTTGACGTGTATTCCGGAAAAAACATGCTTAAAGAAGAATTTTCAATCACATGTGGACTAAAAAAATAATGGATTTGTCTTGACACATATTATTTTCCTGGTATCTGACTGAAATGCTTCACGAATTTCCTCAAGATAATCTAACACAACGCAACACATCTCAGAACTTCAATATGTTGATGACAACGCTGCCCTCTGCCCTTTAAAAAAAGAACTCCAACAGTCTGTCAACAACTTTACTATGGCCTACCACCGTTTTGGCTTTATAGTAAACATCAAGAAAACCAAGGTCCTTGCACAGCCAGTCCCAAATACAATGTTACCAGATTTTGTTATTATCATCTGTGATACACTTACCTCTAGAACAAGTACAACATTTTTCCATATCCCGTCAGCATATATCAAACAAGTGCACCTCAGAAAAGGATATGGAACACAGAATTGGAGCTGTACACAGAACATTTGGAAAGTCAATCAAGTGTTGTTGTCTTCGTTTAATCTTGAACATCAAATGGAATTACTATGTTACCAACACCGAAGTCCTGGAAAGAGCCAACATCCAAAGCATCGAAACGCTGATCATTAAACCCCGTCGCCGATGGTCAGGACATCTTGTAAGATTGGAAGAGTTAAGGTTTCCACGTCAAATCTTATCCAGTGAACGTACTTCATGGAAAATATCACGGGGTTGTTCTCTTCAAAGATACAAGGAACAACTCAAAACAACACTGAAAGCCACTGCACTTGAACTTAAATCGTTGGAGACACAGGCCTCAAAACTGTACCAACTAGCGATGTTCCATCACCATCGGAATCAAAAAATTCGAAGCCATCAGAAGAAGAAAGGAAGAAGTCAAATGACAAAAGAGAAAGGCTCAACAAAATCAACCTTGTCCTCCATCAACATTACCATGCAGACAATGTCATCGGCTTTTCCATGCAAGAATTTTCTTAGTTATCTACACCATCACCATAAAGGAAGCTATCAGAAAAGAAGAATTTAAATTCTTATATACGAGATAGAGCTGCCGCCGACCGGCACGCAGTTTGTTGAAGTTATGACGTCATCGTTTTTCTCTACCGATTTAAATACTTCAAACGCTAACGCCAGTTATTAGAAAATATATGAAGACATCCTAGATGGTAAGTTAGTATTATTCTTTATAATGCATCTTAATCAATCTTCCTTACTGTAATCTCGTGACACTTGGAAATTCCAAATAAGGGTTCTTGAGACATCCTCAAGTAAAAAGTACGTATATTACAGTTTAAAATTCTGTTCGATTAAATAGTTAATAAAACCATTGTAAATGTTTCCTCGTGGTTTCTTTTACACAAAATAAACATAGATGTTTATTTTTTGAAAAGAAAAACCTATGTTCTTCCTTTAAGGAATTAATTTTTGCGCCTTGTTATAAACGGCCCCGTTATTGTCAGTAATATTATAACAAGGAATTAATTTTTGCGTCTTGATATAAGCGGCTTCATCATCATCTGTACTTTTGCGATAATCTTTTCGCCTTGATATAAGCGGCTTCATCATCATCTGTACTTTTGCGATAATCTTTTCGCCTTGATATAAGCGGCTTCATCAACATTAATATTACAAGGAATTAATTTTTGTGTCTTAATATAAGCAGCCTCATCACTGTCATTAATATTGCGACAACGAATTAATTTTTGCGTCTTAATATAAGCAGCCTCATCACCATCAGTAATAGTGTGAGAAGGAATTAATTTTTAAGCCTTGATATAAACAGCCTAGTCCCTATTAGTAATTGTAATAACAAAAGAACGCAGCTGTAGGCTTTAAGAAAGCTATATTCAACTGAGAATACAAGGTTCGCGTATAATGTCCTTTTATAGTCCCAGTAAACAGAAATAGCTCTCTCAAAGAGGACAGTAACAAAACAAGAGAAGACCACTCTTGATTATTCATAACAGTAATATTACAAGGAATTAATTTTTGCGGGCAAACATTAATAAGAATTGTATATTTTAAATAATTATGTCATGGGTTTTTAATAGGTTCCCTGTGAATATGCGGTATTTTGGTAAATGTTAGATGTGGAAGGATAAGTTCTGGTAGTGATTGAGTCAATTGTTAGAGTGAATAGCAGATTAGTTAGGTGTAGTATAGACAGTGAGACCAGCCTTTCCACGCTTTCCCTTTGGTCTTTTGCCACAAAATGTAATTTTAAATAAACATTACTAAGAGTTACTTAGTAACTACATCCAACATTTAGACCTCTGATCAGAAGGTTTTGAGGAGCGTGGAACCACCTTTTAATTTCTGTTGTTCCCAGGTCCACCCTGATCCGGAGCGTTAGTAGCTGTTAGGGTCCCAGCTATGGGCAAATAGTTAATCCCCAAACTGGGGTCCTGGTGGTCCTGAGTATGACGATAAACTACATCCGGTATCGGGTAGATGGAGTTCGACAGCCTGGGAAAGCAGTTCACCTAGGGGAAAACCCTTATTTCAAACCTCCGCTGACTTGCGGCTATATCCAGTCATAGAAAAGGTTTCAGGAGTAAACCTCGAGGAAAAATGCGGAGATAGAATCCCTAAAGCAGTTCTCCGTTGTACCCAACCCGTTCTGGCAGCTTCTGCGACGGGCCCAGCCCCAAACTGTAGCGACCTTGTCGTTCCTTTGGCCTCACCGATGACGTGGAGAGGAGGACGTGCTACAGCCTGTCTTCCATATCATAACGCCCAGGCTTTCATCCGACCACACCACACTGCACCAAAACACCCTGCACTACACCTGGAGAGGACACTCCAGCTTTGCCTTTGACGTCGACACAACACGGAGAACGGGAGTTACCGGTTATAAGCTACCACTTGATTGGCGTAGAGCGCACGCCATGGGTCGTTCTCGTCGGTGGGAGAGATTTTCGGATTCCATTGGACAGCTACCGCCCGCCTCAAGCTGGGCAGCCCCCAGCCAGTTAGGTGTTGCCCCGCCATGGTCTACCTTCTTCATTGGGTACATAGAGATTGGGAGACATCCGACAAACAGGCTGCAACCTTCTCACCATGACAAGAATTTACAAAAGAAATCCGCTCTAAAACTGGGCTGTTGAAACGCCCGGACTATGCTGACTGGCCTCTCTGAAGACCCCCCCCCCAGGATATCAGCATCAGGAAAACTGCCGTCATCAACGGTGAGCTCAAAAGGCTTCATGTGAACATTGCCACTCTACAGGAAACACGTCTGCGTGACTCTGGATCGCTGAAGGAGAAGAACTACACATTCTTCTGGCAGAGGAAGAGCTCCAACGAACCACGCCAACACGGGTGGGCTTCGCAGCGAGAACCAGCCTGCTGAATAATGTAGAACCAAGCAGCAACGGCTCCGAGAGACTCCGTACTCTCTGCCTCAACACCACCGCAGGCCCTGTTACCCTCATCAGCGTGTATGCTCGAACACTCTCTGCCACACCGGACACCAAGGATGAGTTTTATGACAAGCTACCAACCACCATCAGCAGTATCCCCAGAAAGGAACAGCTTCTTCCCCTGGACGACTTCAACGCCAAAGTGGGTGATGATCATGACTCTTGGCCTTCGTGCCTTGGACAGTTTGGCGTCGGCAAGGTAAACGACAACGCCCAGAGTCTGCTTGAGCTATACACTTACCACAACTTGTGCATAGCCAACTCATTCTTCAGGCTCCAGCACAAGGTCTCCTAGAGACATCCACGTTCAAATCACTGGCACCAGCTGGATTTCATACTGGTCAGACGAGGCACCATTAAAAACGTCCTTCACACACGTTCTTACCACAGCGCGGACTGCGATACAGACCCCTCCTTGGTGTGCTTCAAAATCAAGCTTCAGCCTAAGAGGTTCCATCGGGGTAAGAATCCTCGCATTGATGTCAACAAGATGAACCAGCCAGACCTTGTGCAACAGTTTGCTAAGAGGTTTGAGAATGAGCAACCTCACAGACTGGACACCATGCACCACACTGCCTCGGTCACCTTTGGGAGAAAGACCTCAAAGTCATATGACTGGTTTGAGGCAAAGTCCGACAAGATGGCTCCTGTCATTGTGTCCTAGCGCACCGCTCTTACAGAATACAAACGGTAACGCAGCAAAAGAAACCTGCAGATCCTCCGAGGTATAGTGAGACGCGACATGAAAGCTGTGGACATCAACACAGTCCTGACAGCTATACGATCCGAATAGAGAGGAAACCTGACCAAACACCTCAATTCAGGGGAGGAGAAGCTGATACAAGTCACCACGGAAAGGCGGGCCCGCAGAAGACAAAGTGACAGCTCCAACAGACCAGAGACAGAAAACACATGCGAACTCTGCCACAGAGATTGTCACTCTCGCATCGGCCTCTAAAATCACAAACGTCGATGCTCCAGCTAAGCAGACAACTTAGATGCCACCAACTTTGACCGACGGAGGCCTACATAAAGAGTTACAAAGGATAGGAAGTTACGCTGAGCTACGATTGCTCACGTCATGGAAGGACATGGTACATAAAAGTAGAAGTGGGTAAATCCGAGGGATATATCATGTTTTTTTCTTTCTTTTTTTTTCTTGTTTTGTTTTTTTCTTGACAATGCACAAGAATTCATTGTAGATGAATCTCGAATGTATTTGGCATTGAAGACTAAGCCAAAACAAATTGATGTCTGCGATTGGGATCTTCCTTAGCAGAGGAATATTTGATGAGTTAAAACCATCACGGTAATGTCTTTAAATTTAAGTTTTAAAAATGTTGGAGTTGACATCTTCTGGAACAGTAAATATTTACGCAGAAATTTCCAGACAGGATTAGGGTTATCTGAAGCTATTTTGCTAAATAATAATTATACTATAGTAAATACACTGATTTTCTGAAGTAATACCAGTCCGTAGTGAGTAAAATGTCGAATATGTGAAAAAGAGCGTTTCGTAGCTAGTTGGCTGATTTCTCTAAATCGAATTCATACGAAATATATACAAAGTATGGATTATCACTTAAGAGAAGTTGAAGGAGGCGCGCAATATTGAATGGTTTACTCTACAAGTTGTACGTAAAGCTGTTGCACCATGTTCTTTTCTTTCTTGACAGCTGTATACAGCAACAGCTTTTACAAGGGAGATAATCTAGATAAGATAAGAAAATGACTTGTGGTCTATTTATCAAAAGTTTCTGTTATCACTCTTACTCTCCTCTCTTGCATTTGAATCAGTACTGGGTAAACTTAGAGAGAAAACGAAGCAACTTGTTCCACGCTGATTAGGCTTATATTAACAGATTCAGATTGATGTCTGCATACACTATCTGATTTTCTGCATGCACTATCTGACCCGGCGTTGCCCGTGCTTGATTAAAAAATCGTACGACTCATACAGCAATCGCTATCACTTGACTTAAAATATTTTTGCCCTTCCTTGCCTTTAAAGGAGTGTCCTTTTCCGTGCTGATGTTGCTACATGCCTTACTTCTTGCCTATCTCACATTGCGAATTTTTTCTAAGCTCTATACTAAACATTAAATCTGTTACGAAAAAAGAACTAAACAAAATGAACACAAAACGATCAGCTTTAAAAAAAGGACTCGTAACTGGAAGAACCGAATGAAAAAAGAATGTTAACAACAAATACTTTTTCACACCCAACCCAGTTCTGCGGAATCAGAATCAACGTTGTGTTTAAGCAAGCGAATGCGCCAATTGGAGTAAAATGCCATGCAGATTTAAATATTTCCCACTTGTGACGAATGCAGCTATCGATTTTTTTTGTATGCTAGCATGCTAGTTAACATTCGTGTCAGTCAGCTGTTGGCTCTCACACTGGCCAATAGAATCTTCCTGTCTATTCGTGGCAGCCAGCTATAGGCTCTCACTCTGGCCAGTACCAAATGGCCGCAAACTACATGAAAACTGCCGTAGAAGCATGAAAAAATCGATTATTTCCAGTATCGATGGGAGTTGGGAAATGCAAATTCGGTCTCGGCCTTCCCACTAACTTGGAGCATGTGCCTGTAAATTTTGGTGCAAATCTGTCGAAAATTGCGGCCGTGCATTCGTTACACACACACACACACACACACACACATACACACACACAATTGAGGCATCAAGGGGTTTATAGGGTTTTATTCATCCTGGGGGCCACCTCATGCATTTTAAAAAATCTGACAACTGATTTCTATCTCATTGTAAGATCGTAACAAACATGCAAAATTTCATCAAAATTGAAGCAATTTCAATTTTGGGGGGTACCAGGATGAATAAAAACCTATAAACCCCTTGATGCCTCAATTACTTTTCAAGTGTATTTTGAAATGAAAATTTCAGTACATAATGAGATTATATTGAGTAACTGAACTAGTCACTTGGAATTCACTGAGAATCAACACGAGTTAGGGGACAAGCAAGGAACTCCAAAATTTTCAATTTAGCCTTGGCCATAAAGTCGATTAAATAGAAAACTTAAAAAAGATGTGCTTATTATTTCAATTACTATTAGTCCTGTCCTTTGGTTATCGATGGGAGTTGTGAAATGCAAAGTCAGTCTTGGCCTTCCTGCTAACTTGGAGCATGTGCATGTAAATTTTGGTGCAAATCTGTCGAAAATTGCGGCCGTGCATTCGGTACACACACACACATCCTGCCTTATATATGAGGGGTGATTTGTAAACAGTGACTATTATAGCTAATATAGCGCGACTCTTCGCGTAAGCGAATTGAGTCACTGTCAGTCACTGGGCATGTTTACAAAAAAGTAAATACGCTAAAAATCTACCTCCATTCCTACCGTGCGCCGACGGCTTAGTGGTTAGAAGCTCCGACTGACACCAATTCAGTCGGGTTTCGATCCTAGCTAGAGGCAAACGGATGTCTAGCCGCACTGATTCGCTGTAAACAGCGAAACAGTCTGTCTGTGGATGACATTTTATATATATATATATATATATATTGTATTGAGCACTTTTTTATTATTTTAGCTGTTGGTAGGGAGAGCTTTACCTTTAAATGTGGTAGATGCCATTTTCAGTACCATAATTATTTTATTAGATGCTTTTGTCAGTACCCTATTTATTTTATATTCAATGTTTTTGGGTTTTTTTGGGGGGGGTTAAGTATTTCACCCCAAGCAAGACAGAAGTGCCATTATCACACAGAGGATTATGGAGAGTGAAAATGAGAGAAAAGAGTGGGTGTAGTGGGGATTGAAGAAAGGAAAAAAGAACAGGTATCAACGCAACAAAACATGGTGACTGCGGTTGCATTTAGGTTTTTGATGATTGTAGTTATCAGGGAAGCAAGTGAGAGGAATGGAGTTCCAATATGGAGAAGTGCGAGGAAAGAAAATGTCAGAAGGGCGATTACATTTAACTATTTCAACAGTAAAAAGTTGGGACCTAGATGCCAATCTATTAGTACACTTAAATTCATGTAGTCAGGGCACCAGGGGAAAAATGCTCATCAGTGCAGTAGCCATGAAAATATTTGTAGAAAAGACAGAGGGAAGCCACATCACGTCTGTGAGAAAGCGGCTGAAGTCAAGAAGCTAATTCAGTACCGATTACATTACAGATCCTACTTTAGATTTTTTTGAGAATATTGCAGTAAGGGAAGGTAGGGGAAAATTTTATGGATAAAACTTTAACTGCGCAACCAGTAATAAAAAACACAGAAATGCAATCTATGTTGTTATTCATTTAAACATCATCATCATTTAATAGTAATAAAAAAGATATATATAATATATTTAAAGTAATAATAATAGTAATAAAAGTAAAAGATAGATACACACATATACAATACACAGATACATATATATAAACTTACATAGTTACAAACCTAATATACATTTTTCAGTGTTTGATGCAAAATAAATGTCTATTTTTAACACTATATAAACTTATTTTTATGATCACATTTAAGTATAATTTCATTTCTCTGGTGCAATAACTGGCTTGTATTTTTGTACTTAATTATAGTTTGCATCTGTTTATATATATATATATATATATATATATATATATATATATATATATGAATTAAGATCAAATATAGATAGGAATGCAAGAGAATGATAGGATAACGGACAAATAGGAAATCTTTATAAATCTGACATGCTTTGCTTTTATTAACACTTAACACTTGAGATGTGGAGTTAGCATCGTAGCCGGTTGGCAATATCTTTTGGTTAATGACTAAAAATTAATTTCCGCATTTTGACTGTACACATGGGTTTCATTTGGACACCATGTGTATTTAGAGTAGTTTCCGGTTATCATTTTTAGTTAAGAAGACTTGTGTATGTTTATGTTTCATTTGTTTTACTTTTTGTGTATCGTTCTCTGAAAAAAAAAAACGCTAATGGCATTCGGACGTTTGAGTAGCCGGCAGTAACTTCCGGCCGGGTGCGATACCCTTACCCGTGCTTTCAAATTGATTTCGTGCAAAAACAATTGTGTTTTTCCAATTTTTGGCGCTGTCAGAACCACCGCTGGGTAATTTTACGTAGTCCTGTGAAGTTTTGTTGAAATCGGTTGAAAAATGTAGGAAATACGATCCCGTATATAAACGAACACACACACACACACACACACACAATCTGCGTTTTATAATAAGTAAGATTTAAAAGTTATAGACCATAGATGTATATAATTGATTAACTCACTATCCCATATTCTGCAACGTACCGTGTCCCCCAGGACGTTGACTATCATGGCT